CGTGGCTTGTGGGTGTAGCGGAGGTATGGTCAATTTGCATGTTTCTCTTTTATTAGATTAGATAGCTCTTTCTATCCACTTGCTCTCCTTAGAAAGAATTTAAAGCTTGGTTTGAAGTAAGCTGAGTGAGTTCTCATGTACGGACATTTTTACCTTTTCTGCATTAGAGCGAATGCATTTTACAAAATATGGTTCTGCTTGACCAAGTGTCTCCATCAGCTTGTTTAATGAGGCCTGTGATACAAAACAATAATATAATGAGAATTTTCTTCCATCCCACATTGGCAACAATTTATAAATATAAACAATAATGTTGTTAAAATATGCAAAAATGAGTGGTATACAAAGAAATAGGTTTATTTCTGAAAAGCCAAATGACCACTACAGCATGGCTTTTTAGTCACATCAACCATATCCCATTCAGGTTATCTTGCCAATCATTTTGACTTTTCAGTATCAATCTGAAGGAAACAGATTCCTCTTTGTTAAAAGTAAAATAGGAACTAACCTGAAACTGAGCACTGATGCTGGGAGGTTTCTTCTTCTTGTGCAAATGAAGAAGGGATTTGGTAATGCGATCCTGCAGAGTCAGTCTTGTCAGGTGCTTTAAAGAATTTACCTCTAGCAAGTGCTAAAAAGAAAAGGGGTTGAGGGGGAGAATCAAATTCTTCTTAAATTAATCTAAGAATAGGGAACACAAAATTGTAAGCCCATTTTCATCATTTCCTATGTATAATGACTATGGTGAATATGGGAGATTGATATTCAACATCCATCTTACCTTCCTCATGCTTTCCTGCAGAAGCTTTCTAGCTAAAAAGAAAACTACTTTTCCCAAATTCTCTTTCATCTCAGGTTCAGAAAGTGATTTAAGTCAACAATTGAATTTCCACACATGAAACTGGGAAAGTATAATGAGGCAGAGGCTTTGGCTAGTAGCTTCTGTTTCTGCTGGCAAGCGTGTACATAATAAGTGCTTCAGTTTTCTGTCCAGGTACTACTTTTTTGAGTGCTGAGAGACAGAGTGTATTGTCACTGCAACTCTAATAAAGGCACTTGAGCCCTGGAGCCAATAGTTTTAGCAGCTTCTCCAGCAGCTACAACTTTCTGATTGCAGCTCAGGTCAGTTCTGCATTGTTATTTTACTAGTCTGAAACTAAGACTTCTAGCGCTTTTCTAAGTGCCTCTCTGAATTAAGTCCTTTTCTACATAAAAATATCTACAATAATTACTGTTATCTGCAACAGAATCCTAATTCACAGAGACAAATTAAATTCAATCCAAGGGCTATATCAGATATGCCATGAACACACAAAAGAGAAACTCCCTATTAACAGTCATCCTGATGTGCTAATTATTGATCTTAAGATCCAAATTACACATAAGCAATTAAAGAATGTAAAATAAAATATTAATAAAGTATGTGGGAGCTTTTTTAGCCCATCAAAAAATATAGGGTGTATCAAAAAAATGTATACACACTTTGAATAATTATTAATTCCAATGGGTTAAATCTGAAAAGAAACATCAATTGAGCTATCAGCTGTTAAAGTGTATATATTTTGGGGGGGGGGCACCTTGTATATGGCAGTGACTTTGCTAATGAAAAGAATATATCTATACAGATGTGCAACTAATAATGTTGCAGGCTCGATCCCCAGCAGGGGGTGTGCAGGAGGCAGTGTATCATTGATGTTCCACTCTCATATCAATGTTTCTCTTTCTCTCTCCCTCTCCCTTCCTCTCTTTCTAAAAAATCAGTGAAAGTAAGGAAAAATTTTTAAATATCAATTTTGACAATATAAGCATTAAAAAACAACAACTTTCAAGCGAGAAAAATGTTTCCAACAAGTATGACTCATTATCTGTATATAAGAACTGTAAGAAATCCTTTAAAAATTCACAAAGTATAAATGACAACATAATGACAATCATTCAATTTCACTTGTAAGAAAAGAAACAATTTCTTTTAAAGATATTTTCTGCATATCAGATTGGCAAACATAATAAAGACTTACAAAACCCAACATTCATGCGGATGTGGGGAAATAGGCTTATATATGCACTGTTCTTAGGAATGCAAATCAGTATAACCTTCCTGATAAGCAATGTCATTCTCAGGTATTTATTTAAGGAGAATGTCAGAAAAGATCTGAATGCTATCTCTGACAATGTACTTCAAAAAATAATAAAAAATTATGAACAGAGATATGCATTTATATGGAACTTTTTTCATAAAGTATGTTTCATCCACACAACTGAGTACTGCCATAGATCATAAAACAGAGGGGGGGGGGGGGGGAGGGAGGAAGAAAAGGGTAAAGGGTAAAAGGGGACCAAATGGTGATGGAAGGAAACTTTACTTGGGATGGTGAGCACACAATACAATACACAAATGATGTATTATAGAATTATACACCTGAAACATATATAAATTTATTAGCCAATGTCACCCCAATAAATTCAATTTTTTTAAAAAAACCTGTATTTCCTGACATGGAGAAATATTTGCAAATACTACTGACAAAAAATACCATGTAAAACAATAACATATATGTATTTGCTTGGAATACTCTGAAGCCAGATCTTCACATGGCTTGATTTTTCTTGGCATTCAACTTCTAGCTTAAATGCCCAAAACATTCTCATGAAGTTCTTGCTTAACTATCCCAAAAGTCAACATGTCATTTCATTTTCCTCTTTGCACATATCATCTAATTATCTTTTCATATATTTATTTACATTTTCTTCACTAGAAGATAAACTAAAGGAAAGCAAAGACTAGACTGTTCATCCCTGTACCCCTAATGCCTATGTTCTGGTGCAGAGTAGGTATTCAAAAACTATTAGTTTTGATGAATGAATGAATGGATGGATGGTTAGCAACTAATGATTTTTGAGCATTGTTTCCTTAGCAACTGGAGGCCAGACTTCTGCCCATAAAATCACCATGCTCAGATCAATCAACAAATATTCAGATTACTACAGATCAGGCTCTGTTCTAAGTGTTTGGAATACAGTACATTTAAGTACAGGGAAACAGGCTACAAGGGCATTATAAAATAAATGATAACTTGAGGGTTATTAAGATTTATAAAGAAGATAAAATAGGACAAGTGAAAAATGGGGAGACAAGGCAAAACAGAACAAGGTGGAAGGCAAGAGACTAAAGGGACAAGAGAGAGATGAATCCAGTTAAGTGACAGCTGCAATAGTCCAGCATGATGTGACAGAAACCACAAACTAGAATGCAGAATAGAGATCTAGTGGGGAAAAAAATATCGAGTTAATTTCTTTCTTAGATCTTCCATTCATTATCTACTTTATTCCTTTCTTAATTCCATTTTCATTGTTTGATTTATTCAGCTTAATTAATCAGTTCTTTTTTTAAAAAAACCTATTATTTAGTGCTTGCTGTACAAGGTGTAGAAACAAACATTAAAAAGATACTGCTTAGACATTATTTACAATAGCCAAGATATGAAAGGAATCCAAATGCCCATCAACAGACAAATGGATAAAGAAGAGTTGGTACATATATACAATGGAATGTTACTTAGCCATAAAAGAAAATTAAATCTTGTCATTTGTGACAACTTGGATAGATCTAGAGCAGTGATGGCGAACCTTTTGAGCTCGGCGTGTCAGCATTTTGAAAAACCCTAACTTAACTCTGGTGCCGTGTCACATATAGAAATTTTTTGATATTTGCAACCATAGTAAAACAAAGACTTATATTTTTGATATTTATTTTATATATTTAAATGCCAATTAACAAAGAAAAATCAACCAAAAAAATGAGTTCGCGTGTCACCTCTGACATGCGTGTCATAGGTTCGCCATCACTGATCTAGAGGGTATTATGTTAAGTGAAATAAGTCAGACAGAGAAAGACAAATACGATATGATTTCACTTATATATAGAATCTAAGAAAACCAAAACACAATAAAACAATAAACAAAACAGAAACAAACTCTAGAACATTCTGATGGTTGCCAAAAGGTGGGTGGGGGAATAGATGAAAAAAATAAGGGATTAAGATATATAAATTACCAGTTATAATTACAGTCACAGGGATGTAAAGTACAGTATAGGGAATATCATCAGTAATATTGTAATAACTATGTATGATACCAGAAGGGTACTAGACTTATCAGGATAATCACTTCGTAAGGTATATAAATCACTTTGTAAGGTATCTAATCACTGTGTTGTATAGCTGAAACTAACGTAATATTGTATGTCAACTGTAATTGAAATTAAATTAATTTATAAAAAGATGATACTGCTCATGTTAAAGAAGACTAAAATTAACTTCATGTCTTGAGCCTGAGTGACTAAAAATTTAGTAAGGAAATGACATACTAAAATCACTCTGGGCATCAAGAAAGAAAGATGAGCAGGAAATGTACAACAAAGTAGAAATGTACAACAGGGCAACTGTCAGTAAAAAATTGGAAATTAAAAGTGAGGTCATGTTAGAAAAGTAGATTTAACAGAAGTGACAGCTTCAAGGTATGAGCAGAAATAAATTCTAAGAGGGAAAAGGGAAAGTACTATCTGTAATAATCATTGAGAACAAGAGCTATAGTGAATCTGATGAGGAAGAAGAATTAATGGCCACCTTCTGGGGGCCACAATAACTCACCAAGTAGATTCCAATAATCTGTACAAGCACTGCCTTCACTTTGGAGAACCTAATCTGCTATAGCTTCCAAATGGCCAAGGGCATGGAGTTCCTTGCTTCCAGAAAATGCATTCATCAGGACTTGGCTGCTCAGAACATCCTTCTAACTAATGATAACAATGTGAAGACCTGTGACTTTGGTTTGGCCAGAGACATCTACAAAGACCCTGACTATATCTGGAATAGAGATGCAAGACTCTCAAGTGGATGGCGCCTAAAGCCATTTTTTACAAGGCTTATACTACCCAGAGTGATGTGTGGTCGTTTGACATCTTGATGGGGGAAATATTCTCTCTGGAATGTAGTCATACCCTCTGAATGAACTTGTGTCCACTGGCGGAACAACATCTCAGCCAAGACCCCAGCCACCTGAGGCCAAGAGGCATGCGAAAGCACAAAAGGCTTGAATCTGAAAGCAGCTCAGCCTCCCCTGCTGAGCATCGAGGGGCCTGAGAAATGGGGGCCTGAGCTGGACTGCAGGTGCCTGTCCCCTGGTCTCTCTCCCTGCCCACCCAATCAGGAAGCCTTAAAAGAAGTCAGTCAAGTAAGAAGCTTGTCCAATTGGAAGATCAGAAAACAAAGCTATTGTTGAGGTTTAATCTGAAACCATTCATTCGTTTAATCATATTGTAGTAATACCCACCTCACAAGGTGTTGTGAGAATTAAAGAAGATGAAAAAGGAGACAAAAAAAGAAAGTACTATCAAAAGAGAACTGAGTGGAAATAAATTCTAAGAGAGAAAAAGGAAAGTACAATCAAAATAGAACTATACAAATGGCTAAGAGACAAATGAAAAAATGCTCAAAGTCACTAATCATCAGAGAAATGCAAATTAAAATCACAGTGGGATATCACCTCACACGTGTCAGAATGGCTATCATCAAAAATCAACAAACAACAAGTGCTGGCGAGGATGTGGAGAAAAGAGAACACTAGTTTACTGCTGGTGGGAATGCAGACTGGTGCAGCCACTATGGAAAACAGTATGGAGTTTCCGCAAACAATTAAAAATGAAACTTCTATTTGACCCAGTGATCCCACTTCTGGAAATATATCCTAAAGACCCCAAAACACCAATCAGAACAAACATATGTACCCCTATGTTCAAAGCAGCGTTATTTGTAATAGCTAAGATTTGGAAACAGCCCAAGTGCCCATCATCAGATGAATAGAAAGCTGTGGGACATTTACATTATGGAATACTATGCAGCTGTAAAAAAAGGGATCTCTCTTGTCCTTTGGGGCAGCATGGATGGACCTGGAAAATATTATGCTAAGTGAAATAAGCCAAACTGAGAAAGACAAATATCACATAATATCACTTATTTGTGGAATCTAATGAACAAAATGAATTGACCAAGAAAATAAGACCCAAAGCAGAGAGGCATGGAACAGACTGACATACCTCAATGTGAGGTTAGGGGGACAAGAAGAGAGAAACCAAAGAACTTATATACTTACTAGAGGCCTGGTGCACGAATTTGTGCACCAGTGGGGTCCCTTGGCCTGGCCTGCAGGATTGGGCCGAAACCGGCTCTCTGACATCCCCCGAGAGGTCCCGGATTACAAGAGGGCGCAAGCCAGGCCAAGGGACCCCACCGGTGCATGATCAGGGCCGGGGAGGGACATGGGAGGTTGGCCAGCCGGGGAGGGATCACAGGAGGGCTCCAGGGTGTGTCTGGCCATCGCTCAGGCCCAATCAGCTGGACCCCAGTAGAAAGCTAACCTACCGGTCAGAGCATCTGCCCCTGGTGGTCAGTGCATGTCATAGCAACTGGTCGACTAGTCGACTGCCTGCCCCCTGGTGGTCAGTGCATGTCATAGCGAGTGGTTGAGCGGCCTTAGCATATCATTAGCATATTACGCTTTGATTGGTTGAACGGATGACCAGACACTTAGCATATGAGGCTTTTATTACATAGAATATGCATAGCCCATGGATATGGCCAATAGGGTAATGGAGACCTGGGGCGTGGGGGGATGGAGGTTTGGGGAGAGGGAAGTGGGAAATATTTTAATACTATCAACAATAAAAAATATATTTAAAAAAAGAGAACTATATTAACAGAAGGCTAGGGGCTTTTGAAAGTTGCATTTTTTAAATATTTGCTGATGTTTAACTGTTTGGGATTGTAGTAAAAATAAAGCATTCTAAAGACTACCAATCTCAATAAAATGAGATGTGCCTTGAATACAAGTGACTGAATCTTATTTCCATTAGCTATAAAAGTTGTACAGATGCATGCAAAAATGCTTCATAAAACAAGATATGAAAGAGTCTATAGGATTTCACCAAGGCCCAAATCCTGCCCACTATTTTTTATATAATTTATATGCTTGAAAAAAATTAAAATAATACTTAAGGACATGTGAAAATTATATGAAACTGAAACTTCAGTGTCCATAAATAAAGTTTTATTGGAATACAGTCACACTCATTCAATTATGTATTGTCTAGAGCTGCATTTGTGCTACATAGCAGAGCTATGTAGTTAGAACAGAGACCATAGGTCTGTAAGCCTATATGGACCTTTACAGAAAAACTTAACTAACTAATGCTAATGATAATAAGAATTAGGCAAGGTCTAATTAGAAATTATTTAAAAATCAAGTAAAATTCAGATTTTGATATTAACCTGGCTCAAAGAGAAATAAAAAGATCTCATGTAAAGAGGCAATTACTCAATAAAAATTTGCATTTTATTCAGATCTCATGTAAAGAGGCAATTACTCAATAAAAATTTGCATTTTATTCGGAGGTTTTTCAAATACTAGGAAAAAAGATATAGCACAAATAAATCTACCTGAATCATCAAGCTTGGCCATTTTATAACATCCAATCTTACTTCTAAAATGGATTTAACTGAATGCATGCAGTCCCTATTTTGGGTATAAATAAGGTATCTCTTGTCTTTGATTTCTAAAGATTATTTGCATGAGTAATAAAAATATAATTATGAAATAGGACACCAATGGGTAAAAGATTTTTCATAATACCCACCTTTGGAAGGCCAGGCTTGAATTTGAAGTTTCTGTTTCTCCTAAAGAGACAAATCATACACAGGAAAAAAAAACTATTGTAAAGATGAATGATTTCAAGGTCTCTATTGAAACAACAGGTTATATACCCATTTCCATGACACAGATCATTTATATGAAAATGCTGTCTGATTCAACTAAGCAGGCACCTTTAGGAAGGAAGGATAGCAAAAAGACAACAAGGAAAGAGATGCCTGCTCTGTAATATAGGTATAAACAGACTTATGCCTGATAATCAATAACATAATGTTGTATATTTAAAGCTTAAGTTTCATTTTCTTTTGGATGTTAATAGGTCTCTAATTTCTAATGACTACAGAAGTTTTGTTTCTGTCACTTTAAGAGTTTAAATAGATGCTTATATTTTAATGAATTTTTTAAATGTACTTTTCACTAAAACTTATGGTTTTCCACTTTGGGAAATTAAAAATTCTCTTCTCCTTTTTTTTTCTTATTCAAAAGCATACTTACATCAAGACCATTATTTTTTATTATGGCCACAGAAGGAAAGATAATACAAGCTAATAATGATGAATGTGGGTTGGGGAGTCATAAAGACCTGGGCTTGAATCTAAGCTCTTTCACCTACTAAGGTATGATTTTAACCTCTCAAGCCTTGGTTTCATTACATGGTAATGTAAAATAAGAATGATAATACCACCTACCTCTTAGAGTTATTGTGAGAATTAAATTAGTTAATTCATAATTCTGGATTATAGCAAGATTCACATAAATTGAAATATGACACTGTTAAACAATAACTTAGGGATTAAGGAATCCAATTTAGTCACACCTCCAGCTAGTGGTCCAAAACTATGCTTTGGAAGTATCTGGAATATGTTGATATAGGTAGCTAAAAACTTTTAAGTGGTCTACCATGCATGGTGTATCTATGTCCTCAAACCAACTGGATAAGTGTTATGTATCTATCACTCTATGTGGTACCATTCACCATTTCATAGAGAATTTTCCTGCCCAATCTGTTAGGACTGCCAGAATTGAAGGACAACTGCTGTTAAAGACCAGGAATCTTAAAAAGGACTAATAGTGTTTTCTCTCTCTGGATGTAAGGTCCATCAAAGAGCAATAAAGAATCATCTCTATAATGAGTATATATTCAACCATGATTCTTCTGGTGAGATGAAAACAAACAAAAACATACCAGCTTAATAATACATAAGATTGAGAGCTCTAAATGTTGAGTATTTTTTAATCTTGCTTTAACTCAAAATTCTACTCATGAAGTAGTATCTCCATCACTCCCTCTTTTTTCACCCAGGATTTTAAACCTGTCACATAAAGTAATCCACATCACTGATTAATACTAACGTGAGAATTCCATGGGCTCTTTCCAATAGTTTGCTGCTAGCTGAGTTAGCGAATATCCCATCTTTGTCAAGCAAGGAGGTGTTACTTGATAGTCTGCTCTGGTGAATCCCAGTTCTGCCACTCCAGGCAATATCAAATGTATCACTGTAAAAATTAAATATAGTACAATTTGCTTTAGTTAATTAAAACATCTCTAACACTCTAAACTGCTTTTAAAAGTAAAATGAAACTTTAAACATAAAGTTTTAATTTAGACAAAATGCTAAACAAGCAGCAAGTGTTTTTTTTATCAGAGAGATTATCAATCAATTTAAACTAATCTTTTATTCATTCAAAACAAAAAACTTTCTATGGATTCTAGCATATTTACATGCAAGTGTGCATGTAGATGACATCATACAGCTGTCTTTAAATATATTGTAACCGTTTAACAATCAGTATATAATATAATGTAAAGGCTTTTGTCTTTGTTAGATTTTATAACTTTCAAATGCTACTGAAGGAATTTCCAATTTTAACAGGCCATCCCATTGTGGAATATTTCATTTCCTCTTGGGAGGTCTCACTATTACACACATGTCCACTAGGGCTGAGCACTATTCTAGGCACTGAAGATATAGGAATGAACAAAACAAATAAAATTATCAGTGATTACAATAAAAAGAGTTAACAGGGGGCTTTCCAGGTAGACAGCAAATTGCATTCATATTTGAATTCCTCCAGAAACCCGTAAAAGCATTAATAACTTTTAAAGGAATAAATATTTAAGAGAATACACTAATACACAACCCTAACACATTTTTGAAATATGGAAAGCAGATGTAGAGAGTAAACAGCTTTTTCAGTAGTAAACCTTAAACTGGTTGTGGGAAAAGTTAAGAAGCATCTCTATTTACTCTGCAGGACTCCCCAAAGGCTCTGAAACTGGAAGTAGCAAGTACCTTTGGAAGTGGTGAAAATGTAGGTTAAAAATGGGAGCCCTAGTTGAAAGTCAGGTTAAGAAGCACATAAAAGTCCATGAAACTGGATGACCATCCCTCACTTACATAAGCAAGAGGATAAAAGAGAAAACCATGCACAATGGAGGATGAGTATGTTATATAGAAATCAAAGGAAATACTGAAAACAGAGGTCTCAGTTTGTTACCCAGCTGACTCCAGAATGCTGGCATCTGGGCTTCAGTTGACCCCTCAACAACACATATTTGAACTGCACAGGTCCATACATTTTTTCAATAAATACTGTTAATGTATTTTTTTCTTAATAACATTTTTAAATAACATTATTTTTCTCTAGCTTACTTTCTTGTAAGAATAGTCATAATACATGTAACATATAAAAGCTGTGTTAATAGACTATTTATGTTAGCAGTAGTTAAGTTTTTAGAAAGTCAAAAGTTATATGTGTAACTTTTAGTGCACAGGAGGGTCTGTGCCCCTAACCCCTGTGTTGTTCAAAGGTCAACTGTATAGTCTCCAGGCAGAAAATTAGAATAAACTTTTGTGTGAAATCTGACTATGCCAAGAGGAAAGACCCAAAGATACTGGTAAGTTCCAGAGACTACTCAAAGATTCCAATTAGCTTTTCAGTATCTCAATCCTAAATATGAACAGTTGACCAAGGCTCACTAGACATCTGAAGGAAGTCCCTAGCATGAAACATAAAGATCAAAACCATCATGACACAAATAGCTTGAAGGAAAAAGACTAGACAGGGAAAAGAATTTTTAAAGCTATCATTATTATCTTTAGAGAGTTGAGAGAAAATATTCCATGTATAAAATAAGAACAAGATGCTATATAAAGTAAGCATAGAAAAGATAAAATTAGTAACAAAAAATGTATGAAAATTAAAATATGACACTAATGAAAATGCAGTAGAATATACTTTCACACATTCAAAAATATTTATTGAGCACCAACTCGTGTCAATTATTTTTCCAGCAGTGGGCATATACCAATTAACATACTAAAAGTTCTACCCTCATGAGGATTAAATTTAGGTGGAAAAAGACAAATAATAAACACATGACAAAATATATTGTATGCCGCATAACAAGCACTAAGGAGAAATTTTAACAGAAAAGAAGTATTTTTTTAAAATGTGAGAATGTTAGTCTTTTTAATAAGGTAGTTAGCATCAATAAGGTTCCATTTACACAGAGATATAAACGAGATTTTTTAAAAAAAATCAAGCAGTTATCTGGGAGAAGAGTATTCCACGTAGAGAGAAGAAAAAACACAAAGTTCCAGAGGCAGAAATGTTGCTAATGAGTCTGAGATATATTAAGAAGTCAGTCAGATCATTTATTTTAACCCATAAGCTTAATCAGGTCAGTGTTTTGCTCAAAATCATCCTGTGTCAGACAATAGGGTGCTGAAGGCCTGGGGTGAGGTAGGGAGTTGGGAGGAGGAGGGTTGGAGGGTAGTCAATGGGGGGAAAAGGGGACATATGTAATACTTTCAACTATAAAGAATTATTTTTAAAAAATCATCCTGTGTTTTTCTCATTCCCATTAAAAGCCAAAAATTCTTATCCTATATAATAAAAGAGAAACATGATTGACCGTTCCTCCGCTACACTCACCAGCCAATCACGAGTGAGTATGCAAATTAACCCAACAAAGATGGTGGGTTAATTTGCATACACAGGCGCTGGCGGAGAGTGGAGCGGTTTGGGGAACTTGGCTCCTCAAGCCGCCAGATGGAGAGCATAGAGGGAGACCTGGAGGCTTGGAGGACTTGGCAGAGTGGGAGGCCATGGGACGGAGACAGAGCAGGAAGGAAAAAACAAGAGCATGGGGAGCACCAGGAATTCTGGGAATAGTAGTTCTGGTGGCAGCCCCAGAACTGGAAGTGGAAGCCCAGAGTGCGCGGAGCACCAGGAATGCTGGGATTGTAGTTCGGTGGCAGATGGAACTCCTAGACCAGTGATGGCAACCCTTTTGAGCTCAGCGTGTCAGCATTTTGAAAAACCCTAACCTAACTCTGGTGCCGTGTCACATATAGAAATTTTTTGATATTTGCAACCATAAACCATAGTATAAAAAAGATTTATATTTTTGATATTTATTTTATATAAATGCCATTTAACAAAGAAAAGTCAACCAAAAAAATGAGTTCGCGTGTCACCTCTG